TCTTTTGCATGCCATAAGTCAATTTCTGCATAGAAATATTACGCCAAATAGAAGCAGAAAATCGTGCTATACTATGCACTTTCATGAGATCAGGTTGGCCTACAACAATTAATTTGTTGGCTATTTTATAAATGGGAATACAACGAACATGACAATGTTTACATTCAAGCTACCCGTAAAATGTATAGTGAAAAGTACTATAAAAGCGTCTGGAATGCAATAAAGTAATTTTAAGGTGGTTTTTAAAGCATTTGCTGCATGGGTAAAAAAAATAGGCTAATAAATGATTCACATATCATACAAAATTGCGTTGCAGCAAATCCTTTACATTTTCAGGTATTCAGAACAGAGCAACATAAAAATCAGAAAAAGCAGCTATACAATTATAGAACAAAGTTTTACACATATGCCATTTTAATTTGTGTTTTATTTTTTTATTGTACGGAATTATAAAATAAAACGCAAATTATAATCGGGCCTGTTTTAGGCTTTTCCTTATTTTTATATTTTAGATATCCATCAAGTATGGTGATGAAAAAAAATGACTCGCCATCTCATTGGATGTGCCTTTTGAGAGAAATGCACGGAATACATAATGAAAGAGTTTCTTTTTTCAATCTGAATTATTTCGTTTTAAAGTAGCAATTTAAAGCTTTCTATATATTTTTTATCATGTCTGTGAGGCAATTCGCTGAGTTTAGGTTCATCATTGTGAAGCGCTCCTGTTCAAGACCGAGACGGCAGAAAGCGTTTGTTTTCTTTATTTGATAAAAGCACAATGTTTTGATGATATTGTGAGTGCACACAAATAAAACTAGACCCTTTACAGTTTAGAATGATGTATTACTCTTACCTTTATGAGCAAAAATGACTGCGTATTAAGTTGTTTCCACTGTTAGAAATAAATGCAAGTGATTGCGCTGGCGCGCTTTAGGTTCAACTCTCCGCACAAACGATTGGATATGAGTCTAACAGCGCACATTTATCTAGGTTAAACACTTAAACTAACATTATGATATGCTTGTGTAGCCTGTTGGGAAGAGTGAAATATTAATTGTATTTTTTTGCATGATGAACTTCCCAAAACTATTTTTCTATGGAGTTGAAGTCATTTAATTTCACTAAATATTACATTTACACCTACATGGGTCATGCAATGTTAATGTGAGTAAGAACTATTAATTATGGCGTTTGTTCGAATGGGACACTTATCTGTGTTGCATGCTATGCTTTTGGGGAGTGCGTGAGTTACGTCAGCCTCAGACCGCGAATGGACGCTGGCGAGTGTTTAATGGAAGAAGTTAGCGCAATGGATGTTTCTCTTATCAAGTGTCCCATGTGTTTCAGATCAATAAATGGGATTGTTTGAAGCTGGCCCGCTGTCTCCAGAGTGATATTGCTTATGTACAGAATCAGATCTGCTACACTTGAACTGTTTTATACAGTATATAGATTTTATTTTAGGCAAGTCGTGATGATTTGAGAAGGCTAAATTGATCAAACATATAGGCTATGATCAATTCACTGTCTGCCGCTGGCCGTTACTTCAAAAAAAACGTACATAGGCTATTATCGATCAAAAAATGCTCCAAACGTTTTTCTAAATTTACTTTATAAAAAAACTAAATGACATATAATCACTTTTCCATTACATACAAAACTGAACTATTTTAATAGCTGAAACAGTAGTATAAGCTTTTTTTGGGAAAAGGGGAAAAAGACGGGCTAGGGCCTATATTTGAGGCCTGTGCAGGGCTCTAATCCACTTCATCCAACGCTGTTTTGTTCTCATCTGTGAGCATGCTCTTGATATATGTATTTTACCATTTTGTTGAGTTTAAAACGGGACACATTCGTTCTGCTCTCACTGATCATTTGCCCCCCCCACCACAACATGAAAGAAAGCCATTATAACATGTACATGAAAAATGTAGAAACATTGGACACAACTATGGGATACCATTGTGCAGCAGCAAGCATCACAACAAAAAAGGAACCTCACGGTTGATCTAGGAAAATGTGTGCAAATGTATAGGGCCCCATTACTATATTTTGCCTGGGGCCCCCAATTCACTAAATCCGCCCCTGGTGTGCAACATGCTAATTTTGAACATGTTGATGATTTAGAGGCCTTAAAAATGTATGTATCAAATATAATACAGTAGGCTTTAGGCCCAAAAATTATATTTAGGTCACTGCGTGCTTCTAACCTAACAATCTTTAGCAAATCCACTGATGCATTTTTTTTCCTCAAAAAGCACTCTTTTTGAGTATACAAACTACAGTTTTGTTTGTGTGTGACTCTGATCTATAATAATGAATAAAGACCTGCAGGTCTCCTGAAAGCTGCGCAGCTTGCAGTCAGTCAAAGAGCGGATGGTTTCTGGCCAGCTTACAGTTTATCTGAGATAGTCTGTGATTGTTCTGGTCTGCTTAAGGCTGAGCTTAGTAAGTGGGTGTGAGTAAACTTTGCACAGTTTGTGTTAATTTAGGTGTGGTAGACTGTTTATTGAAATAAAGTTTTAGTGCACATCTCCTTGTAATCAGCCTTTCTGGTGGTCATTTTCGTTTTTGTCATTTTTATTTGCCATATTCTCGTGCTGGGTTTAACTGTATCATCTCTATTTATTTATTTATTTATTTATTTATTTTAAATCTCTTTCTGTACTTTCTGCTCATTTCATTTCTGCTCTAGCTTGTGTGCTCACCAAACTATCTCAAATTACTTGCATTACTTGAAAATTACTCTTATTTTAAGTCGCTTTTGAATCTCACAACAAATCATATACTAAATCCGTGCCATTTGTTTCCTATTCATTTATTTTAAATATTTTTCGATACTTTCCTGCATTTCACTTCTGCTCCAGCTTGTGTACAACTCTACAATATTTCATTTAGTGCTTTATCTTACATTTTTCAACTCAAATCAATATTTAATGTCCATTTTTGTACATACTATGTAGCCAAGAACATTGTCCAAGTACAGTGTATACATTATCCCTGTGATTGTGCACCATCCCCTTTCACTTAAAATATTAAAATTTCACTAAATAAAAGGAGTTAATTTCACTCAATTATTACTGAAAGTTCTTTGTACTTAATAGAAAAAAGTTACATGAACTAAAAATTATTCTATATCAAGCTGAATATAAAACTGAAAGAGTTTCAGCAGATTTCTAGTTCACAGCATGCTTTGCATCAGACTGTATAAGGAGAATAAATGTTGAAATTAAGTGTTATTTTGTGTGTTTTTGAACAAGAGTAATATAGGGAGAGGATGGGTGTAACGATGCGTCATGACAAAGAAGTGGGCATCCAATAGCAGGCTTTATTAAAAAGAGCGTAGTCAGGACAGGCAGGGTCAGATACCAGCAAACAATAACATCCAAGGCACAGACAAAAGAGTAATCCAACAAGACAGGCAATGATCAGGGCAGGCAGCAGTCAAATTAAAAAACAAGGTAACAGTCCAAGGATCAAAACATGAGAAAGGCAAAACTTAGGAACATGGAAACTAGGAAACACGGAAGAGCTAAACATTCAATCACCAGCGATGTGAACATGTGTGTGTGCTGTTCTTATAGTGTGAGACTGATGAGGTGATGAGAGACAGGTGATTGCAATTGATGATGAGTCCGGGCAAAGGATTATGGGAAATAGAGTCCGGGGTTAAGTGGCAAGAGTCTGGAATGGAGTGCGCTCTAGCGAAGCTCAAGGGCACTCCAGCTAGAGATCGTGACAATGGGCTGCAAAACTTTAAGAATATATAGGTTTCTTGTTGCTTAACTGTGTACATTTAAGCATATATAGTCTCTATGTAAGTCTGTTAACTGCAAAAGATTTGAGTTAATATGTCCATGCAATGAATTGTGTTAGCTATAGGTCAATATTTCAATTAAGTTGCAATTCACATGTTTGTGTAGTTCCAAATCAAAATGTAAAATTAACTTAATCTTTGAGTTTGTTAATTACCTCAAATTTTGAGTTCTGCCAATTTATTAGGGTTTACAGTATGCATGTTCACTTCAGAAACATTTGTTTTTCTTATCAGTTATAACACTGTACATATAGCTATTGTTCTTATTATATATTTCAGTTTATTAAAAAATTGCATGTTATAATGCAACGTAAACTATTATCATTTAAACTCTAATACATTTGCAAATAAAAACTAGCAAAAGTCAGCACATGTGCATTTCTATTGATCAGCCTTGATAGATCAGCTGTGCTGTGAAAACAGTTTTAAGGGTGAATGGTATTTTTCTACCTTTCAGATTTCTTTGCTTCAAACATAGTTTCTCATATGTGCAGCATGAGAGGCTCGTCAGCTGAATGAGTTTTTTGAGAATTTGGCTGTTTGGTGTAAACACCAGAGGACTGCCTCGGCAAGTGTTTGCAGCTTTCAACATGTTCAAGTAGTTTCTCACCAAATTTGCATGTGCCATTTCCATCCATCTATATCCAAAGTTTATGTAGGCCTCTTTGTAGTAACAGTGCTTTTCTAGCTTTTGATCACCTAGATTGGACCAAAAGAGCACCACTTTGGCACCACTTTGGTCAGTGATTAAATGAAATATAACCCCCCCCCCCCCCCAA